TTCTTTTATAGAGGGTACCGTAGAAATTCTCTTTATTATTCCGATATCACTCCCTTGAAGAAAAAAAAAATCCACGTAGACTACTCCGGTTCAAAACCTGCTCTTATATACAATGATCTTTTCTCTACTTAATCCAACGGCTGAGGGATGCTTCGCACAGTGGGGGATATGTTGAGGTTCCCCACCCTATAACGTGTCTTGAAGAGTCTTTTCTCTCTGGCGGAACCCTAGAAGCTTCTACCGCTGCACTCCCTGGCGAGAGCGACACAGAGAGGTAGGTTTCGTTCCCCTTTGAATTTGTTCCTTCTCAGTGTCTTGGATCTTGGCACATTATACAATCGCTCCGTTCTTCAAATAAGCGCAGAGAAGAGAAGAGGGTTTGTGTTGGGATTGAATGGCGAGCGAAGAGGAAAGCGGTGAATTCTACCTGCGTTACTACGTTGGGCACAAGGGGAAGTTCGGGCACGAGTTCCTAGAGTTCGAGTTCAGACCCGGGGGAAAACTCCGTTACGCCAACAACTCCAACTACAAAAACGACACCATCATCCGCAAGGAGGTTTACCTCACCCCGCCGTTCTCCGTGAGTGCCGCCGTATCATCGCCGAGAGCGAGGTAACCCTAACCCTAATCCTAACCCTAAGAACCTCTTTTATTGTCGTTTTGAAAATAACTGTTTGATTGCGCAGATTATGAAGGAAGATGATAACAACTGGCCAGAGCCTGATAGATTGGGGAGGCAGGAGCTGGAGATTGTAATGGGGAACGAGCACATATCCTTCACCACCTCCAAGATTGGCTCTCTTGTCGATGTTCAGAGTAGCGCTGATCCTGAAGGCCTTCGGATCTTTTACTATCTTGTTCAGGTTAGTGGGATTGTGATTTGCATCTATAATCATGGTTGTGAACTGTTTTTTGAAACATTCGCAGCATTCCTGGGACACGTGATCCTACGGTTGATTTCTGTTAGTGTTAAGTAATGTTTGGTTTATTCTTTTTTATATCTACTGTTTGCAGGATTTGAAGTGTTTTTTCTTCTCTCTCATTTCACTTTAATTCAAGATTAAGCCTATATAAGATGTGTCTGCAATATTATGCGTTCATCCCTCGGGATTGTGTACTTCTTCATCCAGCTACTCCTTTTGCTAATGGGCTTCAACGTCTGATAAGTTGTCATTTGGTTCTGTATTGCTGGTCACACACTTTCACACCCACTTCCCCCCTTTTCGCGACTTTGATGATTTTGTTAAAAGTTTGCTTTATTAAGAATGTTTGATATTGTTAATGAAATGTGTAATTGTTTTAGCTTTTATTTGGATTTCTTGAGATGGAAAAATGGTATTATTATGTAGACATTTTATTTATTTTTGGATCAAAATTAACATATTCTATTTGAATGAGATTTAATTTATGCAAATTTGTACATAATAATTTGATCTAATCGTCAAGCCTAGTGGGAATTGCTATAATTTTTCCGTATGAACGAACTGAGTTTTGCTGACAAAGGACGTTGGCAGATTATAAGAATTACTCTGAACTTAATAAACATGTAAAACAAAAGGCTTATGCTGGTTCTCTGAAAAATTGTACTGACAAGGCTGGTGGGAGTTTACTTAGAGCACAAGTAACAGATGGCTCAGGTATAAATATAACCTCTACCAAAGATGCTAGCACTAGAACTGCTTCTGCAGAGAGGCTCAGGGAACCTTTACCTTCCAAAGTAAGAAAGGAGCTTATCAGCCTTGTGCAGGATTCTATGCAATGTGCAAACAACAGTTCAACGATAGGTCCTCCCTCTCAAAGGAAAAGGGTCACTGCCCCGTCAGGCAAGGTAGATGGCAAAATTTTTTATACTACCCCGATGCCTCTGCATTCATCTACTATCTCTGGGGGGTTATTGAGAAGCAAAGGTATGACTCTAATTTCATAACTTGAGTTTTGAGGAGAGTAATTGATACCTTCAGCAATACTAATCGTTGATGTGTTATGCAAGAGATGGAAAACAGAAAAAAGAAGGTTCATGCTTTGGAACCAAAGGATTCCGTGTCCCAGAGGTAATATCTTGTTGCCGATGCCATTCACTTACATCTTTTAACGCACTTAGAGGGGCCATTTTATGTTGATCGAAATATAAATAATATATATACATAGCGAGTGCCACTTTCATCTCAAACATGGTGATCGGGGAGACTCCTTTCACCAGCAACCCAGAACAGTAAATATCACCGTCAAAATTCAGCTGTGATGATTTTTTGTCTTTCCATGCTGACTTGAGTTTTGTTGCAGGAATAGAATTTTATTAGGATTAGATAAACTCAGATGACTCATTACATTTTTTTTAATTCTAGTTTACTTGTACATTTTAAACAAATTAATTTAAGTTATTAATTATATTATAATTTAAATAATATAAAAAATAGTGAATAAAAAAGAATTTAAAATTAAAAAATTAAGAAGTAAATTATATTTTTAGAATGTATAATTTTAAGTGTTATTTAATTATTGATATAATTTAAATTATTTAATTGTTAAAATAATAAACAGTAATTTTATATTTTAAATAATTATAAAAATGAAAATATAAAAACAAAATCTTAACTTTAATGTTATATGCATATTAATTACAACACATATATTTACTATAATAAAAAATATATATATAAAATTGTTGCAATGAGTAGAAAGACAAGGCAGAGAAGGGAGTTATATCCCTAAACTTGAACCCAATTTTTCTAGGAGGGAAAAACTTGTACTCTAACTCGTACAGAGTACGTTTTACTGAACGATACTGATAAAGATTATATTATAATATTAAATTATTTGAATTACAAACAATTTTAATGACAAAGATTTTGATAATCAACAGTTAATAAATTATTTTTCATTGAGTCCACAGAGATTACTTAATTTAAATACAAAATCAAATACTACAATTGATAAGGGTTGGCTAAGTGGTGATTGAAGATTTGGAGTAGTATTAATAGATTTTAAGTTTGAACTTAATTGCATGATTTGAAACTTAAAAAAAAAAAAAAAACTATTTTGAAATCATTTTACATTTAACACGTTTAATGGTGAAATCTCATAATTATTAAGCCTGTGAACAAAACAAAAAACTTTAGCCCGCATCATTGGAATGATATTGGGCTTGAACTAGGATAAAAAAATATTATAGTATGGACTCTGCTATACTGTTTCCCCATTGTTTTTGGGTACCCTAGTCTGATATATTTATTAATAACAAAACGTTCAAGTTTATAAAATAAGTTCATATAAAATTACATAATAAGTTTATAAAACAAGTAACCGAGGACATAGTTCAATATTCAGCTTAAGCATTGGATCCGCTCCTCCAAGAAATATAAAATATCCAGTAGTAGAATCTGATCTTCACAGTATCCCAAAATTTGGTTGTATCTTTGTCTTATACAACAATCCTTGTCATGGAGCCTTTTTAATATAACTGTTGTGCAGCAGTTTTGATCAGATAGGGGGCTAAAATAGTGACCAAGTGTGTTGGTTATTCTTTTCTTTTTTTGTTTGGTAATGTTTTGCAGAGGACAAAAAGTTGTCCTCTAGTTTCCTGAGTAACAAAGTTTGAGTTTTGTCTTACACTGTGTCCTTTCCTTTATGCTGTCCTATTACCATATCTAAAATCAAACATATAGCAATTGACTCTGTGCCCCAGCCCTTTACTTTCTAGCCCACACCCCATAAATATAGTATTTTCTTCTTTGAAATAACATGGTTTCTCATATTGCCTCTTGGTTCTCTCTCTTTTAACAGTTTGTTTGAGGTATAATTTTGATTTTTTGAATTCTATAATGCTTTATGAAATAGTTGTGCATTTCTAATATAATTTATTTATCATCTACTGCATGCAGCGGATCCTAAGGGAATGGATCTTGTAATTCCTGACTGCTATGAAGACATAGAACTTATACCACTGAGAAAATATTTTGGTGGACATGAAGGGGTTGGAGAGTATATTTGGTATCGGACAAATCATAAACTTGAAGGATCTGAACTACTAGATATATCTAATGCTTTTGATGTTGTAATATGTGGGACAGAGCTGTCAGTATTGATTTGTTGTTCACATGTATTTTATGAGAAAATGTATCTGTAGTTGATGATTTTGTTATTATTTTCCTTGTCATGGCAGATAGGCATGATAATCTAACCCGCCCTTGTAGGTACTCGCCGAACCCGCCCTGATTTGGATGGGGAAAACTCGTGTCTATCAGGTTCGGGTTTTTCCTGATTGATAAAATCGGGGGCGGGGGCGGGGGCGGGGATGTTGTAATATGTGGGACAGAGCTGTCAGTACTGATTTGTTGTTCACATGTATTTTATGAGAAAATGTATCTGTAGTTGATGATTTTGTTATTATTTTTCTTGTAATGGCAGATAGGCATGACAATCTAACCCGTCCTCGTAGGTACCCGCCCGAACCCGCCCTGATTTGGATGGGGAAAACTCGTGTTTATCAGGTTCGGGTTCGGTTCGGGTTTTCCCCGATTGATAAAATCGGGGGCGGGGGCGG